ATACAAATCCAAAAAGGCACACACAGTGGTTTTAACCAGGATTTATCACAGGGGCCATAGTCACTGGGTAGGAGGCTGGCAAACAGGCTCCTCCAAAAACCAGTGGCACTTTTAAGTTTGTTTCTTAATGCCAATTCACCAGCAGCACCCAAAGATTGGCTAGGAATCATGAGAATGCATTTCTTAAAGCAAGCAACAAACTCAATTGACACTATATTATGCATTTTACAAGAATTCTGATTAAATATGGGTTATGAACAAATAAAACATTTTTGAATACCATACACATGAGTCATCAATCAAATACATAAAATTAAATATTGTTTTAATCGCACAAGATCAATGCAGATGTTATGTTTATTTGCAAGACATTTTTCATTTCTGTAATATATGCATTTTTCTAGTTTATAAAGTTTATTTAACAAATGTAGTCACTGAAACAAACTCATCTGCAAATCTAAACATGCTGTATGATCATATGTGCATTTATAATGAACGAACATATTGTACCATCTGTATGCTCAATAAAGAATATATAGAACCTCTACAGCATAATTCAGAAAAGGAAACAATCTGTGTGGTTTCATATTTACTCACTCACATAACGAATGGGGTACAAGGCAGATATAGGTTTGTTCACAAGCTTCAAGGATTAAAGGCCCTGGGTGATTATGTTAGGCACTTTTAACAAACTTTTCTATAGTCTATGATGGTGTAACTTATAATTAATAATTATGAGTGGATCATTTGGGGGATCTGGAGGGGCTAGAGACTTGATTATGAAGCTCTGTAGGCGAGATTCTTTTTTCCCTTACAGACTCCACTGCCACCCCAAGATAGGAGTTAGCCGAGAGAGGAAGCAGGGATAGAGACAATCTGTCATATTCCCTGTTTATCTCTATTAATATGCTGCTTTCAAACCTGGCTGAAACAAATTGAAGAGACCAAGCATTGCGAGTGCACAACAGCCAGGCAGAGGGGATATGAGAATACCACCAAACACCCAAAAGTGACAGGTGAAAAACATATAAATGTAAACATAAGTTATAAACAAGCAGCTTCCCCAGGTAGCCTTCCCAGATGTCAATGGGGCTTAGCTAAGTGGGGTTGGTGAGAGGTGCCCGGTGGACCCCAGGTAAGTTGCCATACCTTCCTTAAATGGTCTGACAACTAACCGTTCTAGAGCACTCCTGAAACCATAACCACTACAGAGGGCTATGGTGGTTATGGTGCTTAGAGTGCTTCTTTTAGAAAGATTTGTCACTTCTCTTTTTGTTTTCGTTTTTAGAAAAAAACATTCCTTGCTCTCACTCTCACTTTTATTTCACGTTGTCGGTTGATAGCCCCAGAGATTATTATTAAACTTAAAGCTGCTCTGTCACTACCCTGTCACTGTCGCACATTCCATCAAGATAATATCTTTACAAAATACTATACTACAAAATATATCGATCTTTGAAATTCCAACGCAATCAATAGATATTAAATATAAACCTTCTGTCTTGGGTTTGTTTAGATGTCTTACTTTTGTTTGTTCCAAGAAGCTCTGTAAATGTTCATGATTATATTATATATTATTATACTATATCCAGTTTTGTTGCACAAGATTAAAGGGACACTCTTGATCTAGCTGGCTTAAGTACTTCATGTGTGAATAGTGTGTCCTAGTTTTTCAATTTTGCAAAAAAAGGCAGATTTTAACACAAACTGGCACTTTTATAAAAAAACAATGACACACCCCCCTGGCTGTCAATCAGACACCAGTCCTGTTACTTCCTGGTTTGTTTAACTCAATGGAACTAAACTCAAGAGGTATCAATTACCCAGAACATCTGCCTTGCAAAGACTTCTCATTGAGCTGCATTAGGAAGTCTGTGATTGGTTGTCACAGAAAGTCTGGACTGGTTTAAAAGGGGATGGCTTACAAAGGCTGCAGACAAAAGAGGTGCAGCCTTTGCAAGCTGCTTTTAAATATAGAAATGCAGAATTAAATGCATGCATGTTTCATTGGGTTATATCTACTAAACAGTATTTATTTTTTAAATTTTTTTTGTATTTGGGCAGTGGAGTATCCCTTTAACATTTTATAAGGGCTAGTCCAAATCACCATGAGGGATGCACATTGTTTCGTTGATGTGTCTCCTACTTGCATACCTTCTGTTAATGTAGGGAACGCACTCAGAGGTACTGCAGCTCACATGGGGCTCACAATGCAAGTGCTCCTCAGCTGATTGAAAAGTGCAGATTTTTTTTCTAACTGATCTATCATATAATTATGATACACTAGTTGCCTGGAGTATCCTTTTACAAAAAGTCATTTTGTGTATTGAAATAAAAGTTAATTCTAAGTTTAAAAAAAATAAAGTTTTCCAATTTTAGTATCATTATAATATTACCCGGAAGAAATGTTATTTTTTATATGTCATTAATCACAGCTTATCGTCTAAGACCCGGTGTTCATTCGCAGCATCTGATAATAGAAACCGGCAAAGAGAGCGATTTGCATCCGATGTAGAGAATTTAAAGCTGAGCTGCTCCCCAAGGGCAGGTAAAGGCACAATGCAAAGTATTATATTGAAAATCAACACTATAATAGAATGCTGCTGGGAAGATATCATCGGAATATTTCAACATTTTCCAAAATAAAATAAGAAAATTCTGAAATGCAATGACATGTCAAGTATTTTATGTATGAAGATGCATTACGGTGATTTTTCAATGTTTATTAAATTGCCACAATGTTTAAAATGAAATAATTTCCTTAACTGCCCCTTTCTATTGCTTCATAGCTCAACAATAACAAAAATGTGTGAGATTTCTATATCTTTAACCATTTATATAATAGAGAGTTGGGGTTAAGAGGTTGAAATGGATTTGTTATTTAATGTTACAATAAATTAAAGGAAAACGCCAAACCCCGAAAGAACTTTCGCTTACTAAATCGTTTCCATGACTAAGAACGGGTCTCATGTGCCTTATATTACGCAAGAGAAATCCGCACTTTTACAAACTCCCTTGGGTAACACCTCCTGGGTCATCTAGGGATATAGGATGGTTTCCTTCATCACTCGACAGATACTCAAAGCAGAAGTGAGGGTATCTCATGGAGGAGCATTGCTGGAGGATCATAGCAATTGCTGTGAGTTGGCCAAAAGATCTTGAGTCCGCCAGTGTCTATGAGATACGAAGTCCAAGCTTGTTATCTCTCAATGATACCTAAAGCAGTTTACTTAGTAGGCATTATCTGCTAAGTTATAGCACCAACTAAACAATGAATAACAGTCATTTCTATAAGAGGGAGTTAAAAATAGAACTCTTATTCAGTAATTCAAATATTGACATACCAAGCAGTAAAGACTACAAACCTGAAGGCCCAAAGGCTGGACGTGGAGATCCAACTGATGCTACGGCCATCTCCACCCCCAATATGATTAACCTCATCAATGAAAATAATCTTTTAACAGTTGTTTTTCGCTTTCATACAGTCATTTTAAATTAGATAATTTGTGTGATGTTTCCCCTAGTATTCATCTACTTTAATATGATAACTCAGTGTCTGTTTCAACTGTACATTGACTGCTGTTTTCCATTTTCATTGTTGCTTCCAAATTTGAAACATAAAACCTGCAATCACAGCCTGGAATCCCTCATTAACCCCAAGACTTCCAGATTATTATAGTATGAAATGTAATTACCCATGTGTTCTAAGCTAATGGGACACACAATTTCACAAAACTGAGTTGACTGAGAATTTTTCCAGCTCTGTTGAAGTCGTTTTCAGATCACCAGCAACCTACCGTAGTGAATAGATTCTTCTAAATTTGGCACATTAATGCAAAACATTGTAATTCAATTGACTAATAATAGTTTTGTTTTATTATAAATACAAAAATAGTTGATTTGTTTTATATTGACCTAATGCACTTTTCTTACAAAACGCAAAGTTCTATTTATGAATTTGCAATTTGTCGATAATATTTAAGCATATTCGCTGTGTTTCCGAATTTCAAAATTCCAATCAAAAATGTATCTGAATTGTGAAAAAGCTGAATATCACAATAGCAAGGCTGATCTTCTGACCAGCCGCTTTCCCACTTACCCCCAACCTGCCTCTGCTCCCCTATGGATCTGTGGGTGTTAACCTCAATAAAAAAAGTAATTAACAAAAAAAATGTGTTAATGCATCTTTTTTAACCAGCTACTTTCTGAACATTTTTATTTTGTTATTTTAAATCATTACTTCTCATAGTATCACATTTTTATGTCACAGGTTTTTCGTGGTCAAAGTCTGAATATGGGATTAAAGTAAACATGTACTAACCAGAAATAACTGAAAATATGAAGATAAAAAAATGAATATAGTGTGAAAAAAATCCCAATATAGAGAATAAAATTGTGCTAGTGTAGTAAATGTAGAATTTACTAAAAATGTGCTCTCTTACTACTATTGTTAAACACAATGTGATCTTTTTTTCTGTTGCGGTTGATGAAAACACTCAGGGGAGATGTACAGCGGCTGTAATTAATTATTCAACTTTTGTCCTTATTTATCAATAATCTCCCACCTTTGACTACCTATCCATTCTAACACTTACATGACTTTGAAATTACTTTTATTCACATTTTGCAGTCATTTAAATCTAGTTCATTTTTATTTTTAATAAGCTAGATAAATAGCACTTAGTGTAGAAAAGTGATCAGAGACGTGAAGAATTGGGTCACACGTTGGTTGATAATATATATTATGTATATCAAGATATATTTACAGTCATAACATCTTTTTTTTTTAGAAAACTAACAAATGAAAGTTAATACTCTAAATCATTGATGGTAGGCTTTATACATTTCAAAAATATATATTAAGCTCTTTGGCAGAAAAAAAAATCAGTTTTTGTACAGTACAATAAAAATCAAGTTATTGGGAGTAGGTGGAGGTGATACTCCTGGTAGGTTCCATTGGCAGAATGAATGTCCACTTTTTTCAGATTCCTCTAAGAATGTCATTTTTTTGCAGGGGGTTTCTTTGCTGGAGCTTTTGGGGCACCTGCCCCTTTTCCATCAGATTTTGCCCCTCCTGTTGATTTTTGAGCTCCGGTATCTTTCCCACTTTTCTTTCCTGCTCCCTGTTTATCAGAAGCTCCCTTTTCTCCTTCTCTCTTTTTTGCATTATCTTTACCGCCTTTGTCCTCTCCTTTGGTTTTTCCATTTTTTCCGTCTCCTTTTCCTCCTTTGCCATCCCCTTTAACACCTTTTCCATCCCCTTTACCACCTTTTCCATCTCCTTTACCTTCTCCCTTTCCTTCTTTACCTTCACCTTTGGCTTTTTCTCCATCTTTTTTCTTTCCCCCTTTACCACCATCTTTCTTCGCATCTTCAGCTTCTACTTTCCCAGATACAGTTGGCACATCCTTCTTTTTTGGCTCTGTCTTTGGAGCTGCATATAATAAAAAAGAAACATTATTAAAAAGGAGGTCTACAGAAGCTTCCACATACCTAATTCGATGCAATAATACTATCTGTATTTTATCACTAAGGAAAGAGTAGAAAATCATAGAGAAAACATTACAAGAGTAACGAAGTGTCCTCTCTTCTATCCAAGTGCATTGAGCCATAAATACATATTGTACTTTGCTACAGCGCCACCTACTGTTCAGAAACTGAAATACGCATATTTGATCAATTAATCTTGTACTCATGCAGCAAGACATAACAGTGCTGTGTATGTGCAGTCTTAATTCGTCTGAGAGTGGCTCATGAGTTGGATTAAGCAGTTTGCTCACAGTTCTCTAACTTAGCTGCAGTCACAACTAATTTAGCAAATTTTTTATTTTTTCAATTTCCTAAAATACAGTGTTTTATTGAAAATATTCTCTGGAGAATAGTGTGCTGTTACACCAACACCAGCGAGTAGTTACAGGTTTTGGAATTAAACTGTTATCAGTTATAGAAGTTTCCATTCATTTGTAGCGTTTTCATATCATTTCGAGCCATGCTCACGTTATACTGCAGCTTATTGGGACCTACTGCCAATTCTGAGTTATCATAAAATAATAAACAATTGTTGTGTCATTTTCATAAGTTTTTAGAAAAGCTAATTTTCATTTTAATACAATACTTTATAAACTAGTTTATATTTTTAATGCAAGATTTTTTACCAATTTTATATTTGTATGCTTTGTTTTATAAACCATTTTATGATACAATGCTTTATTGACCCATATATTTCTGAAATAATGTTTTATACGTTTTGATCAGGGCCTCTCATTCCTGTCAGTCAAAATGACGTTCAAAAAGATTTGCTGCAATTACGTATAGATCGTGCTTACCAATGTTACAGTGCTGTGGGATATTCCCTGTATAAATCATAACAATTACAATCATTTCTTGATTTTTTTAATTGCTGCGTATGCTTTGCAAATCTCCCTGCTATTGTACTATTCTTGGACCATTAAATAGTGTTTCTAGAGGACTTTATATTTCTTATTGAAAAGTTAATCTACCATTTCTTCATTCTTTTAAAGATTACTAAATGCACAGAGACCACTTAATTTTAACAGCTACCAGGCGCCCAGACCACCGTATATCAACAGCCACTAGAAACATCCAGACCACTACATCTCAGCAATCATCAAAGGCGTATTGACCACTTCAACTCAACAGCCACCAGAGGCACCCAGATCACTTTATCTCAGCAGTCATCAGAGGAGTCCTGACCATTTCATCTCAGAAGTCACCAGAGTTGCCCAGACCACTCTCAACAGCCATCAGAGGCTTACAGACCAATTTATCTCACCAGTCATCAGAGGCGTACAGACCACTTAATCTCACCAGTCATCAGAGGCGCACAGACCACTTCATCTCACCAGTCATCAGAGGCGCCCAGACCACCTCAACTCAACAGCCACCAGAGGCACCAAGACCACTTCAATTAGAGAGCCACCAGAGGCGCCCAGACCAGTTCATCTCAGCAGTTGTCAGAGGCATCCAGACCACGTCATCTCAGCAGCCACCAGAGGAGCTTGCTCTGCAACTACCAAGTTTAACTCAGTCATGTGACAATCAACGTCCCCATGAGAAGCATTTGATTGGATACGTACAGCATATGCCGCATACACACAACCCGTCTCCAATGTCCTTCTATGAGAAGCATTGGATTGGTTGATCAGAGATTATTTGTTTTGTCTGAAGAAGCCGATGACTCGGCGAAACGCGTCATCTGACTAGGGTTAGATGTCATCACGCAAACTCCGCCTCCCGAAAAATATCCCGATCGAGAGTACAGCCAGCCCTGGAAAGTGTACAACACGAAACACAGAAAAGCCGGCGGTTACATTTATTCCACGACGGACTGTTACCATAAGGGATCCGGTTATATTTTACTTACAGCAGTATATTATTGGAAATAAAGACGGTGTTTACCTATCTACATTGGCTGCAGTGGAAGTCTGTGCTTTGGGCCATTACAGTTAGAGCAGACTTTTCTCTACGTTTGTGAGTTTATTTCCAATTACTTTGATGGACGCAAGTCTCTTTTCAGCTATGTAACTATGTAACTTTTGCATTTTAGTTATTTTTATCTTACAATATTATACTATATGCTATTTTGTTTCCTTTTTCTGTTCCTGATTTGGAGCTGTATTTTACCTTATCAATGTCTTTAGTGTAAGTTGTTACTAATTATACGCACTAAATCACGTTGAGTGTTTGTTGCCTTGCAGACTGCACTTTTATATATAAATATTTTGCACATATATGCCGATTGTCAGCATACACTTTGTCACTTTATGTGAGTAGGGTTGCAGGTTGCACTTTGTACTGTATATGTCGTGCTGCAAAATGACAGCCTATCTTTTTGAATATGCAATTTAATTTATAATATATAGCGCACCCTTTTTATCTGTTTTTATTGTATTCGGAGTGTTTTGGGCTAACAGCCGCTATAGGTGCTGCTTTATTCCTAAAAAGTTGCTGTTTATTGTTTTATGTATTGATCTAATTTAAGCGCCATTCTTTCACTTGTTTATTTTTATTTGTTTTGTGTTTATCTTTTTGTTTATTTTTTTATTATATTATAGCTGCTCAGTCCCAACCATAGTTTGAGCCATATTTAACTGTAATGAAAGTGAAAATACAATGTGAATGCTAAGTGAATTTCAAATTTAAGCTCAAAATAGAAAAGGTCAGATATACTTTGATTTCACCTACTCTGCCTTTAATTTGAAATTCACTTTAAAAAATAACCCTATATAGGCTAAGTGACACTTTACAATGTTTCTATAGGTGCCCAGCTGTCCCAGATATGATGGAATAGACACAATTTGGATTTTCTGTCCCACTATTTTAGGCCTGAACTTTAATATCCCATTTTTGGAATTCTTGAAAAAGTCTTCAATAAATGTAGTATGAGAGCATCATTCTTCTCGGATTTAACACAACTGTCAGTTCAGAGGCGGAAAATAGCTACGGAATGCATCAGCACTCAAACAGTTAATCTCTAACACTCTCTGCCATCTACATTATCACAGAACAGACCTAACACAGCATGACATACACTTTGGGAGCGTATAAAAAATAACCAGAATTTATTCCGGCAAAGTTATTTCTGAAGTCAGACTATTTTTAAAGCTCAGACAAGAAAGTCCTTTTACCTCTCATAACTATTTTTAGGCTGACATTTGCTTGCGCTTCTTAATAAACGAATTTAGTTTGGCAAAATCACATATTCCAAAGCGCAGTGGCCAATAGGACCAGACATAAGAGAATTCAGTGTTGTTGAAACTTCAAGCCTTTCACACGTTTTTAACCCTCCAAACGCCAAAAAGGATGATGGCATTTTCTCTTGCAGTAAGTTTTCCTGCCACGGTGAAATCTTTAGAGTTATTTCTAATAGATCCGATCTGCTGGAATGTCCATACAGTAAACTGTATGCAGGAAAACATGATACATTGCTGCATTATACATTAAGATCAACTAAGCACTCCATAATGTTTATTAATAAACTGGAAACTGACTAGGGGATTCAAATTATAGGACAAAATAGAAAAAAAAAACGTATTTTGCCCTAATTTTCGCAATTAACTGGCTAATTCCACACAATTTATTTAATAACCTGCTTGTATTTTTTTATGTAAATGATTAAAAGGCAGCAGCATACTAACTACCGAGGGCTGTGTACCATGGATTAAACAAGAAGTGCTAATATATTTACTATATTTCGTTAGCTGGGTAGTTATTTACTCCACTAATGAAGTAAAATCCTTGAATGAATTTGGCGGTGGGCGGCCCTGTTCTTCGCCTTGTACCTCTCCTTGTTTAAGACAGCTGGCTAGCTGAAACTGGCTTAAAACATATTTATTTCACTGGCTCAGGCTCTCGGGAACCTTGCCTGATCACTCGATTTTTGAGGGACAGTTATACATTGTGTGTTTTGTTGGGCAGGGAATGAAAGTACTGCCTGTCAGTATGTGGAATTCATCTGTGCTCGCTATGACATTCATGAATTAATTGATGTTAGAATCACAATGATTAACTCGATTTCCCCCAAGGGACTTATAAATTTTATATCCTGCAGGGCAGGACTTTGATGCCCTGAAGGCCACAATAAAATATTCTGCAAAAATATGATGTTTCAACAACCCTGATGGATATGTGAAGATAAAATGTGTCAGTCACTGCTAATAGCTGTTAAAAAGGAGCTCTGTTTACATTTTGTTTATTTATTCAAATATTTTGTGTTTATTTATACAGTCACCTATGAACACAAATTCTGCTTGTGGCAGGGAGGTTTGGCCAGGCACTTCCTCTGCTTATGGTATAAAAAAGAATCCTTGTAGTTAAATGGTTTTATCTTTGAAAAGTAAATTAAGTGACAAGAGGATGAATAAAATGAGATCCAAAGCAGGTTACAGGTTCTCTAAATTCAGCTCTGGAATAGAAGACGTCTGGCATTTTCTGTTTATTTTGCTGTGTCCCATGTCTGCACTGAATACTGTGATAAATAAAGCTGTGTGTTATCACCTCCATAATTCAAAAATACAAAATGCCCCCCCTTGCGGGTGCCAACTAAATAAATGCCTGGCATGTTATACATATAACATGGGTTTTATCATCTTTTACATGGAAATCTAATAGTTATTTTTCTATTTTATCAATATTTGCCAACTACGTTTTAATGTTTGTATGTGATCATTATCATATACTCAATATGTTTATACTGACTTTTCACCTTGCTTCCATGAGCGTCTGGCAAAAAATCGCTAATGAGATTGAGAGGGGTATCTTTCAAAACCCCTACATGCTTATAAACCCTTAATAACATGGGTTGGGGGGCGACATTGTAACATAGCTGTGAGATACAAAAGTGAACACAAATACAAAAAAAGGTCCTGCGCTCAAACTCTGTCCTACACTGACCTTTTACCTTGCTTCTTTGAGCTTCTAGCAAAAAATATCTCTAATTTATGGAAGAAGCTCAAGGAAGCAAGGTGAAAAGTCAGCGTAGGACCAGTGGCGGATCCAGAGCCTGATCTCGGGAGGGGCACTTGTAGATTATTTAAATAAATAATCCAGGCACAATAACCACTACAGCTCAGTGTAGTAGTTATGGTGTCAGTAGTGCCAGGATTCCACCCCAGAGTAAGTAGTCATACCGTTTAAGAACAGTTTGACAACTTACCTGGGGTCTGCTGGGATATAGGGTATAGGAGCAGTGGTGTGTGTTAAGGGTGAAGTGTGTGAGTGCGGCAGTGTATGTCAGGGACAGTGTTTGTGGGGCAGTGTGTGTATGGGGACAGTGTTTGTGGGGCAGTGTGTGCGTA